TTTTTTAAGAAACCATCCAAAAACAATATTCAACCATGAAATATATCAATCATTTTTTTTTTTGCTAATCAAGGACTAATATTGTAGCGTTGAAAAGCTGAATAAGTCATTTTTTTCAATATCTAGAGTAATGCTGACAGAAAGTGAAGTACTGTATAAGATAATTTTTTTAAAAGAAAATATCCAACAGCCATCTAGATTCCTTCATTAGCAAGACAGTTTTTTTACGACACATCATATAAAATACTATGGTAACAGAAGTCAAAAGTGCAATTTTTTTTTGCAATAGACGACTAGTACTCGACCTGTGTTCGAAACCGATGAAAATGCATAGAGAAAAGTGTTGCTAAGGAGAGTCCAGCAGCGCACATCAAATTTTCATGCTCGTATATAATTGTTACCCAATATAGTGAATCAATGGCAATTGATGAAGAAACAATTTTTTTCATGCTACAAGACTGCTTAAGAATGTGATTTCGAAGTTATTGATTGGATTTTTTTATGAGGGACAACTATAAGGCACGATATTCCCGACCAACAGGAGGTTTTCTTGATGATGACGCGTAGAGGGTCCTATATTGCAGATATTGATGTAAGTAATGACTTTTTTTCATTATAAACTAGATATAGTTACCTAATTCTCATGTTGATAAGATTATTACTAAGTAAACACAGGTTTTCTACAAACCTCAAGCCGCACGATTGAAAAGGTTTGCGCAAAACATGTTTTGATGCTCATAGCTGTGCAAATTGTCACTAAAGGTTTTGTTAACACATGAAAAGGGAAGTCAATCSTGTTTAAGTGAAAAAGGCGAATTYATTGATTTTTTTCAATTGATTACCCGAATTACATGGATTCCTTCACAGACTTAGGAACAAAAATGTTGTACCAAGATATGACCAAGAAATATGACTTCCACAACGATTGTTGCCATTTTTTTTCTAACTTGTCATAACAGTGAGATCCAGCAAACTTGATTTTGTCTAGATTTTTTTATATTAACTCGCTTAATGTACAATACAGCTACTCCATTTATCAGCAGGCAAGAGAAGTGACCTCGGTTCTTTATAGTAGTAAGTTCACTTCTTCACTTGATTATTTTTTTGAATCCTTTAGAATGACATCCTTTCCAACAGGACCTGTCCACAATGCATTTTTTTGGATGACAGAACTCATCGACTTGGAGAACTTAGACGGGTATTTTGACGAATACTTCTTGGAATCTCAAAATCACCAACAGTCAAACAGTCAAGACAGAGAATTTTTTTTTATAACTGAAGAAAACAGAGAAAAAGATTCGCAGTCACCTTTGTGAGTTTTTTTTTCAACCTTGAGTTCTACTTCGACGGAATTGATATTCGTTGTTTAACAAGTTTTTTTTAAAATCACTTGATTTGTAAATGGACAGCAACAGCAAAAAACACACACTTTTTTTAAAACAAATCCATTAGATAATTAACCCGGTACCAAATTAATGTTGCTATTTTTTTACCTCAACATTTTCACAACAGTGAGTGGTGATTTTACTTAGCGGAAATTTGTTGATTTTTTCAGGTCGCGTCCTCGCATTATAACTATCGAGTCCTACACAAAAATATTTATCGAAAGACCCGAGTAAGTATCTTTACTTATCACTTTATTTTATCTTTTTTTTTCTTAAGTTTTTTAATGTTCCTGTTAACAAGCTCTTCGAGATTAAAGTATTTTTTTTTTATTTATGCATTTAGTTATCATACTCAATTTATATAAGTCAATGTGTTTTTTTACGAATGCAAACAAAGTTTTTCTGCTTGAGTTACAACAAAGGAACGAGTTTTTTTGTAGTCAAAGAGGTCTAACACAGCCATTAATTAAACAAACTTGAACATTTTTTTTTTCACACCGTTCATCACCGAAACGTCACTTAACACTGAAAGAATTGTATTTTTTTATTACATGTTGTATCAACACATCAACTCGCCAATGATGCATGCTGCCCTGGGGACGAAAGTGAACTGTAGTCTTGTCATAAAACTGAGTTCTCAGCTTTTTTTTTTTTTTTTTCAAAAAAATTACGCAAGATATCGAAATCATACTATCCACGACACATTTTTTTTAATTGTTAAGTTTTTTTTTAATTGAGACAAATGCATGCAAAACATGTTTTTTTTTGATGACAGTAGTTTTTCACAAAGATACATTGAATCTGTTTTCAGCATTTTTTTTAGAAAAAACATTATCCAGCATCTTTTATTCATTTCATACCAAGTGCTTTTTTTTTTTAAAGTGAGAACGCAAACATAGAAGTACAGCGGGCCAGCGAACAAAGTTTTTTTTCCGCCAAGGAACCCGCAAAAAGAGTTGTTGCATCATCACATCTAGAATTTTTTTCATGGACAGTAGACATGTCTAAAGTCAGTCATAGTCAAACGAACAACATTTTTTTGACTTCRGCAGTGTTYAAGCTTTTCTGTGGAGTGAACGACGAATTTAAATGGTACAGTTTAAAAGGAAAAGGTATGATTCCGTCTTTTCACATATAAATTACTTTTTTTTTACAAAAAGGTACTTCATATTTTATTATATTTATTGTTTTCAGGCTTATGTCTTGTCATCCCCATGTTAGTTTTCTATATCGTCTTATCTGTGACGCTTCTTCTTTTTTTGATCGTTGGAGCAGCTGTAACAGCAGTCGTCTTGTGCGCAAGCGTGTGCACCTACTTGTCATTGGCTACTAAGAAAGTGGGCGTGTCATATGATGACGATGGTTTTTTTTCATGTCTGGARGCAGTGATGTGGTGGACTTAAMATAGTTAGCTTTGCGTTTTTTTCAAGTAAAACAAGATCAAACGATGTACTTATCTTTGTGTATAAAATTGTTTTTTTAAAATAATATTGCTTATTTATGTTAATAAAGTCAGTCAATGTGCTTTGTTTTTTTTTTTCGTTGATAAAATTCTCCAGTCTTTGCCTTGACAGAATTCACAAGTTTTTTTAAACTGAAACAAACGATAGAAACAAATAAACAAACACCAGCCGCAAACAGATCAGTGAACTATGAAAATGAGACGATGTTGCAATGAAAACTTGCTATCWCTATTTTTTTTTAGATTGCTTAGACATTTGATCTGTAGTCTCTTCGCACCCGTGGTGGTTTTTTTGTTCCCCACCCAGGGAACCCGCCACAAAAAAACGGGTGCGACATGGGATTTTTTTATTCTCAGTGAATGAATGATTTTCTCACCTGGGATCCTTGGAAGCTTTTTTTTTTGTGGAAAGTACACGGCAAATTATTAAAAAACGTAACAAATACATGTAATTTTTTTTAAATGATAAAATCATCACTTTACCTGAAGAAATACCAGCGACGTCCTTTTTTTTACTTTCCTTTGTTTTCTTTGATCGTCTACGCTGTCTTTCCTCAAGAATTTTTTTTATTGCTTTGGTATCTCTATGACATATGAATGTAGTGTTAACAACTATTTTTTTTTGACGGCTTACATATTACATAATTATTAGCTCAACGTACTTGCGTCTTATTTTTTTCATAATTATTAGTTCAACGTACTTGTATTGTGGATCTGTAGGATCGATTTTTTTTAGATGTGACGAGTATAACGCAGAAAATCGAGGGTCATCTACATTTACATTTTTTTTATCTTCTTTTCTTGGTTCTTCCTTGCGTTTTTTCTTTCTTTTCTTCTTTTTTTTCTCATTTTCAATTATACCCTTTAAACTAAAATGTTGTCGATCGTCGTCTTTTTTTATGAGAAGCAGTTCTAGTTCATCCTGTCAAAGAAAACAATGGTTTTAGTTTTTTTTAGTCAAGACGGAGAATGATACTGATGGCTATTGATAATAACTCAATATTTTTTTCTCTTGCCTTTTGTTTCTTATCTTCTTCTGTTTCTTTAACACGTTTGATTTTTTTATCCGTCCTTTTTTGTTTAATAAAGTCGGGCCCAAAGTCTTGATTAAAAAACGGATCTGACATATCTACCCCTTCTGGAACATCGTCTTCATCTGATCCTTCCACCCTGAATAACAAACAGCAGAATTTAACATGGAAAGCAAAGACATTCAACTCGAAAAGAATCTTGTGTTGTGTTGCCCAAACTAGATATCAAATCGAGCAATTCCTCACGACGTTTTGCGCAATTTTTTACCGCGATGCTATGAAACCTACCAAGTAGAGGTMATTTTTTTGACTGAAGTGTTTCAACAATTGGTTCAACAATGTGTCCTTATAGAGTACAGTTAACTCTCTTTGAACGATAACTCTCTCAAGCGACCTTTTAAATTTCCCGTTTTTTTTTCCATATAAACTGTAGGCGACCACTTTTTCCTGATCCTGAGGTGGTCGTTTTTTTTAGGGTTGACTGTAGTTATACCTGATTATAGCCTACCTGTCTCGTTTTTGCTTCCTATCCTTTGCACGTTTTTCTTTCCTTTTTTCTTTCTTTTTGTTTAAGTATTTTTCCCATGGTGTTGCCTTGTTTATTTCCTTTTCGGTTTTTTTCTTTTTGACATTTTTTTCTGCTGACTCCTTAAGACCWGGTTCCCATGTTATCTCCATTTCATTATTTTTTTTATCTTGATTGTTTTTGGTGTCGATCTCCTGGACAAGTTTCTAGGGTAGAAAAACACGTCTAACACCTACTACCGTTATGGAAATTATTGTAGTTTCATTAAACATGCAGTGTGATATTCAAAAGTGAAGAACGAAAATTTTTATAGCTTCCATGACACTCCAAATATTGTACTGTAATTACTACAGAAATCACCCAATATCACCCACCTTGTATTTTTTTATACTCTCATCTTCGTCATCATAACCATCATTATTATCATTTTCATCTTTTTTTTCATTCTCGTCAGATGAGGAAGCAAGATATGCTTCAAAGTCCATGTTTTTTTTTTTATCTTTATTGAATGCTCTCATTGTTGTCTTGAGTCTCTGACTATCTGTTTTTTTTCATGTTAGCTTTACATTAGTTTGATGTAATGCAGTTGTCTCAAACCTGTTTTTTTTTGTGTCATCAAATTAGGCATATAAAATAGTTGTTTGAAGAATATTGATTTTTTTACCAGTGTCTGGGAAGGACACATCATAAATGAACACCATTTTTCAAGATTTTTTTGAGCACCATTGTGATAGAAAGGTTTTACTTTTAGGGCACTTGCCCAGTTTTTTTTAAGACATTGACAACTAGATTTGTTATAGCTTAGGATGTTACCAATGTCCTTGTTGATCAAAACGCAATGGGAAAACAATTGAGAAGAGTAAAATACATACTCTGGAGGTTGATACAATGCTTGACTTGGCACTTCAGTAGCAACTGATGTAGGATCATTTTTTTTAATCATGTCATCAGGAATGAACCGCAAATCAAGTAAATTACCACTCAGTTCAAACTCTACTCCATCGTATTCATTGTAAATATCATTAGCAGTCTCTGAAATGAATGGAAAATAGTGATGGCACACTATTTCGATGAATTTAAACTTATAAAACTGCTTTTTTTTAGAATCGCAATCCACCACAGCATAGTAATACTTCAATCTATTTATCTGATACTGACGGAGTTTTTCTCTTGAAAATTTTGATCCCTACAAAAATTATATGGTAATTAATCATTGGAGATCTCCAATGTCTTTTATTAATATATTTATTGTACTAATATTTTTTTTATGATATCTTTGAATGATCTCTCACATGTAAGTGAGTAAAGATGAAGGTTTTTTTGAAGGGACATCATTTTTCTGGTACAAAAATAATGAAGGCATGTACAAAATCATACACTATGTATCAACACACAGTTGACACTGGTCAGAAAGCTGAATTACCACAATGATACATAACAAGATAAGGTACCTCAATATTGTTATCACAATCTTGGGCGATTTTTTTCTCTACAATTTCCTCTGGACCATAACATTCTTCATTTTGTAATCTCTTCAAGCCATATTCTGAGGGATATATCTGAAAGAAAAATTAATTTAAATTGTATTTTGAATATTGCATTTGTAATCTATTTTAATACTCAGAATGACAATACTTTTTGTTTGTACCTTCACTGATTTAACAATTCCTTTGGTCTTCAATGAACTGAACAAAACTAGAGCATTCAAAGAATTAGTAAAGGAGAGGATACTTTCTGCTAATGTACAATTGTCCACTCACCAAATAGGTCATTGGCCTGTATTCTATCCCAATCCAAGTTACAAACAGCCAGTCGCCTAGATGTGTTACTGTTTGTTTTGACATTACTGTCCAGCTCAGCCCACTGATGATCAATCGTATTCTCCTATAATGTTTATTATTATTATTGTTAATATGTTAGGGTTATTTGCAGCAAGAGCATCATAAACATCAAATCAAAAGACTAGTAAATACTTTACTTGATCACTAATATCACTATCAGCATCAGAGTCTTCTAAATCTTTACTTTTCTCTGTTGTATTTTGTTGTTCATTTTGAATGATTTGAGAAGAGGAAGGGTTATCATCATCACTATCACTATCTGATGATGATTCTATATTTCCTTCACCCCTAGCTAAATCCATAGCATTATTATTTTCAGTATCGTGCAGATCATTTTCTTCATCTGATTGAGGATTTTTTTTTAGCTCTTTGCTTTCAGTTTTCTTTTTTAACTTTTTTCCTTTTATCTTTTTTTTCTTGATACTGGCGCTGGTTTTCTCTGGCTCTTTTCCAGTAAATTTGATATCACAATCCCTAAAAGAAGGAATCGATTTTATTTTTTCTATTGATGTGTTATAATTTTTTTACATATTAATAGCCTATCATTACAAGATTGAAAACTTGCATCTCACTATTTTTTTAAAAGTAATGGAACCAACTATATTATTGGTATTTTATACTTACACCTGTTTTTTTTGTTTTTGCTCTGGAAATTCATTGTTGACTTCCTCATCAGAAAGATCATTTTTTTGATGTAAGTCTTCTTTTGTTGTTTTGCCCAATGCTGCACCCCTTTTGTTTTTTTTATCTGAAATAAATATTTATTAAATATACCACATGAACAAGACTTACATTTTTTTTATTCACATTGGAACATTCTTGATGTTTTTCAGGAAGGGGATCAGCCTGTTTTTTTTTTTGTATTCAACACATCAAGTCAAAATTCTAGGTAGCAACACTATAATTTTTTTATATCTTCTACAGCTTACATTTTGTAGTAAACTTTTTGTCAGTGAACATTCGCTGAAATCTCGAGTCAATCTTTACTTTTCTGTGTTTTCGAGGAACTCTCTGTTTTTTTAAAAAAATGACATTCTAATATAACAAAGAATACAGTTTAATGAAAATAGTTTCAACAGACCTTGAACCGAGGGTCATTTGCAACACGTGCAAACCGTCTGTCTGCCATTTTCACGTACAGATTTCAACGACGATTCACTCAAAAAGAAGTCCTAAATTTTTTTTTTCTATGGAGGGTTTCTTTAAAAAGCAAAGTTATTCAGCTAGCGAAGACATTTGAATATTTTCCGAAATATGTAGTTAACTTTACCACATGGTCGCCATGTTGATTTTTTTTAACCTCTCGATTGCGATCGAGTTAGACAGGAAGCCCAACCTCGGAAAGTCGTACCCGCAGAGGCGTCCTTTCATCAATGCGTATCTTCTGGTAAATCTGCTGCGTTATATGTAGAGTTTGAAACTATTATGTCAAGTCATTCGCACTATGTCGCGTCTTTTTTTATGCTTGCCTGTAGAAAAAAATTGAGGAAACTTCAATGTCTATATTTTTATGAAAACCACAGAATGCCAGCAGAAATAGCCTATACAAAGGTCACAGCATGCAATTACCAATAGACCTCTGCAGCTTTTACGTCATGTACCGTATATGCAATGCATTGTAGGATATGTTTGGGACAGAACATGGCGGATTTCTTTTGTTTTCTCTTGAAACTGATCCCACAATGCATTGAAAATCAAGTAGTGACGTAAAAGGTTCAGAAGTCTATTGTTTTTTTTTACCCAAAACTGCTTTCATGGTTTTTTTTACTAAATGGCTAGCAGTAAGACAAAAGCTCTTTTGTTATTGACAGAAACCATGGTAACAACTTTATTTCACCCAGAAGAATATATGCTCTTATGGTTCTGATTCTACCATCTCAACAGCAAGCAAACAAGTAACCAAGTAGAATAATAGAAAATAATTTATGCAACTTTCTATTTTTAATTAATTAATAAATTTATCCTGTAATGGAAGAAAGAGAGTAAAAAAATAACTTCTATTTTTATTATTCCAAACAAAGAACTGATGCTGGAAAAAATACTTGTACTTACATAGTATTTTTTTTAATGTAAGAAAATGTGTTAATGATATTACAATGAAATTTGCATTAATTTTTTTTTCATACATATATCTATTGCCGTTCTTGCAAGGAATATTTCTGCTTCACAAAAGTCTACAGCCAATGCCTTCATGTATTATTTGTAAACAATAATAATATACAATATTGTCAGTTTACACACTGTATCTTTACAGATCTTTTTGCTCAGTCACCACTTTTATATGATACCATTGTGTCAACTTTATGGATTGTTGTTGTAAATGAACGCAAACGAACTTCTTCTGAGTTGCTTATAATACGAGGCCCAGATTCTTCCCACATTTCAGGGATTTTTTTGTCTTTATCAGTGTAAACCAAAAGGTCAAATGCACCTGAAACAACATATTTTTTTGTCATTTATATAGTAGCCAGGTATTAAGTTAAAATTGGTAGGCTGTTTTCCAATGCAGTATTTCTTACTTTCAGTGCTCTAAAGAAAAGCTTCATTTGATAGCAACATTACTTACATGGACCTTCTAGAAGTGGGAGAAAGGTTACACTTGCTGTGATTTTTTTTATTACATCTCTTATTTCTCTTTTAATTTCTTTGAGAGATTTTTCTCTTTTTTTTTTATGTGATGAGGATGAAATAATAAATGAAAGAGGAAAAGGAATACTGATTTTTTTAAGAGTTATACAGCAATTAATAACTATTCCTTTCTATATAAATTAACATTTTTTTTCTGAGTGTGGTTTATTTTTCTAATATTGTTGACGTGTGAGTGCTGGCTTTTTTTCCACCATGAAACCATGTCAAAACACTCATTTTCTCTTCAGTAGATAATTTTTTTTCCTGTCTTCTTGCATGGTTTTATCACATTGAATGTCAAACTGCCACCTTTCTTCTACTTCTCCAGAATCAACATTGGTGATGACAAGCACTATTCTCTGGATTTTTTTTTTTTTCAGCCAATCTAAAGAAAAACAATAAGTGAAGCTCTTCATTTGCATTTTTTTTAGAGGACATATATTACTGTATGTAGAAACAATAGCTTGGCAGTTTAATAGATGAGAAGTTTGCAACATCATTACTACATGGATGATGTTGATAGGTATAATTATCTTAGGACCAGAATATGCCCCCCTCCCCCCTTCCCAATATTCACATACACACCCCCTCCCTCATTCAGTCAATACAAACCTCATATCATTTAGGCTTACCATGAATTTGCTTTAGCACTTTTGACAAGTAATCTTTAAGAAGTGGTTCATCAGACACAAATAGTTTTTTTCCATACTGTTCAACTCGCTTGAAGTTTTCTGGAGGGTATACTCCACGCTTTTTTTGAATACTGCAACCAAGGTTGCATCATCTTAAAGCATCCTTTATGCCACCAAATGTATTAAAAATTTAGCTTATAGTGATTTGTATTCAACACGAGGACACGTCGATTAGCGTATATGGGTATTTTACAATCTTAGTTCAAACCAGAGATTAGAGATCTTTTTTTTTAGTAATTTAAACTCGAAAAGATAATACCAAATGATTCAAAGATACTAGAAAGTAAGCTCCGCTAACATAATATGGAGTCTTGCACACTGTCAAACAGGTATCAAGACAAGATATACTCTACCTATTGATGCCAAAGCCTGTAAAAAAGGATGAAAGTAATAATTTATTAAATTGATTTAATTAGATAAACACAAATATATTACAAAAACTACTTTTTTTCTCTGTGACAGTGTCTGTGCTTCCTTTCAATGTTATTGCTCCCCTTGTTTTTTTTGCCGCCATTTTTCAGAATCTCCTCGCTCAACCCAGTTTTCAAGATCTCTTTTTTTCACAGGGAGCCCAATTATTTGATATACAAAATTGAGCAATTTCCAAAACGCATATTTTTTTGCTATGAAACTGAAAAAAATTCACGCGTTAAAAGTATTCCATTCCACAAATGGAAAAATGAGTAACGAAGGGAGAAAAGAGAATGAGTGATAGATACTTTTTTTCAAGAGAGGAAGAAGAGTGATTGATTTGAACTCTAAAATTGATGGTTCTTTTTTTCAGCCGAGTGCAACCACGTGGTTTACATAAAAATATTTTTTACTGATTTTTTTTTCTCAATTTAACATTATACTTTTGATAGTTGGCTAGAAAGTACAACCAGTTTTTTTTCTGTTGCAACGAGTTTATCATAAATGGTCTAGGGGCCCATTAGCTTCTTTTTTTTTGGATTTTTAAATTTAAATTAATTAATTAATTAATTGGATTTTTAAATTTTTTTTAATTAATTAATTTTTTTTTTTAATTTTTAAAAGTTAGTGCGACCAATTTTTTTTATAGCATGGAATAAATGTCTATTCGAAATGTAAATGGAATCGACGCCTTTTTTTTACAGAATGTCTCAGGGGAATCGTCCCAATCTTTTACATTTGCAAATGCTTTTTTTATTGGTTCGAACTAGTACTACGCCGTGTTCTTTTTATTCATAGTATTCTTTTTTTATTATGTCTTTCTTTGTCAATCCCATAATTGAAATATTCTGTGGTATTTTTTTTTCATTTTGATTTTTTTAATTTATTCATTGGAAACGTTTAAACACTAGCTTTTTTTTCACCTAATCGCAATAATAAGGGTTGTTTTTTTGAAAACAGACATTACATTTTTTTATTGATGAAAGAGTCAAGCTGGACCAATCTTGCCTTTTAATTTTTTTCTATATTTCTATTTATTCCTTTGCTTTTGTGCGCACAACAGTAAATTTTTGAAAATTTTTTTTATGGAATAATGCTATTATTAAATTATCATTATTGATATTGAGATTATTTTTTTTTTCGTTTATATTACTATTTTATCGTTGTTATCATCATTTTCGCGTGGGCTTTTTTTTGAAACAATAGCCTCGAGCTCACCGCCGTTCAATTTCTTTGTCAGTTTTTTCCGTTTTCAAGAAGAAGTCCAGCTTTTATCAAAAACCACACTGAAATTTATTTCGCTTTGAAATTGGCACTGCTGCAATATAGAATAAGGTTCGTCTGTATTACATGTTTTTTTAAGTCCATACAATCACGATAAAAACACATACTCCAGATATTTGCACATGCCAAAACCCCAAGTAAGTGTTGTCTAGGTAACAAATTGAGAATACTACGAACTATTTTTTTAGATGCTCTTGAAAGGCAATTTTTGAGAACAAAAGTCAATATTGTACTTTTTTTTTGTCATAGGCTAGTACGATATTGTCAAGAGTTATTTTGGAAAATTACAGAAAACACTGTCATTATCAGCAGTTTTAAAGATTAATTACTAAAAACAATCTCACGATTTTTTTTTACATATTTTCAACAAATGATCAATGCGATTTCAAGTATTGAAAAAATATAAACATTCCACTTTTTATAGTATTGGTACAGTGTCACTCAGAGTCGTTTGTTTTTTTTACATATGTGTAGACTGGTACTAGTTGTCACTAGTAGTAACAAGTCAATCAGTCAGTACCAGTACTTTTCTGTGAATTTCACGCATGCATGTGTCTACCAAAATTTTTTTAGTTCGTTTGTCAGTTTAGCTGTATTTTGATCGTGAATTATATTGGTCAACAATTTCTGTATATTATAAAATACACAATGCCGATAAAGAAAGGACTTGTAGCTTTTTTTAACACATTCATTCAAACAATCATCAAGAAATTCGACGGCTCTCGTAAGTTTTTTTGTCTTTAGTGTGGTTATCATGTGTTATTTAATGAATTTCTCTCCTATTTTTTTTTATCCAGCTGATCGGAATTTTGTCCTTGGTAATGCTCAAGTGTCTGAATTGCCGATTATATATTGCAATGAAGGTTTTTGTGAGCTCACAGGTTACAGCCGAGCAGAGCTCGTTCAAAAGCACTGTAGCTGTGACTTCTTGTGTGGGCAAGGTACAAGCGAGACTGCGAAAAGAGAGATCAAAAATGCCCTTAAAGGCACTGAAGAGAAGCATATCGAGATACTCTACTATAGGAAAGATGGTAAGGCTTCACAAATCTCTAAATCATACAAAGCACTAGTAGTTTATTGATTTTGTTCGAATGAAGATGTCATATTGATCAAGTTTTTTTCATTCCGTATGTACTGGTATTGTCCTACTACCAATACATCATGATTTTATGAAAAGTTATATTCACTCTAATGTTAAAACATTTTTGATAAACTGTTCAGTGTTTTTTTTACGTTCTCCATTCCTCCTTTGAAATCCCTGCCCTTTCACAATTGTAAATTTTTTTTGAAAGCCATAAATTACAAGCTCTAATTTCAAAGTCGGTTATTGCCAAGTTACACTAATCAGCCCTCAAGCTCGAATTACTTATGCTTTTTTGCATAACTAATAACATTGTCATTTCATGCAAAATCAAAAAGGACGATAAAATTCATTGGTCATGGTGATATCCCCTTTTTTATTGAGCAAGTAATAAATTATATATCTAGTTAACGTAAATAAGGTGATATTTTACGACATTGTTTGTAATTTTTGATTCCCGGCATATATGTACCTTTTTTTGCGTGTTAAAATGATCATTTTGCTTAGCGTTAATACTATATTAAAGTTTTTTTTTACGCACCAGTATACCTCAGGATTTAGATTATATCTTTTCTGCAAAACTCATTTCATGCTTGGCAACAGCATTTGGCGTGCTTGCGTGTCAATTAAGACAAAATGAGTTTATATGTCGAAAAGCCAACCGAATACAATCGCTACTCTTTGTTACGGCTTGCAGTGCTTTACAAGAGGTCAAATAAGATAAAATCGTCAGTGTTTGTATCAATAATTTTTTTTTCCTACGTGCAGTGGGCACTATAGCTGTCAATGCTTTGTTTTAATTATTTTTTTAGTACATCTTTGCCTATAAAATCTGTAGCTTTGTAACAAGCTTTGCGATTTTTTTGAATTTTTTTAAAGTTCATGATGTTTCTTTTCTGTAATATTATATTTATACAAAAATAAGACGCGGTTAGATGATAATCCATCTATAATCTGTACTTATGAACGTGAGATGACCGCTTGTTCCTCTTAGTGCTAAGAGACATATGACAAATTAATGAATTTTTTTGTTGTTCAGAACATATTAGATCAATCAACTCGGAAATTTCGGTGTGTTTTTTTTTTGTATATTCTTATTCTTGATAGAATAATTTAATTCCAGAGAAATCTATTTTTTTTTATTTTAGAGATTGCAAGACTTGTTAATCTTTTAATTTGTATTCAAAGTTTTTTTTGGATCTAAAAAACTATGTAATGCTATTAAGCCCTTGACTTGTTTGAATAATATATATAACACCTCCAGGCTATGTTTAAAAATCTTAAGGTATAAATGATGTTTTTTTTGGTGGTGGGAAGAAAAAAAGAGAATGAAAAAATCATGAAATTTATCGTGTGGACTAGTCTACGAGATCTGAGTATCATAATTTATTCTATAATATTGCTATTTACTCAGATATAACCAATGATAAATTTAATGTCATAGGTGCTCTGATATTTCTTTCAGAAATAAAGGGCATAATATTTCTCTTTTGTTCTAGAAAACAAACAAGTTTTCTATTTTTTTTAAATATGAAAATTAATATAGAATAATTGTTGAAAACACATGAATTTTTCTCTCTTGATATTCAATCCATATGTGAAAGAAATACCTTTTTTGTCTTTTACTTTTTTTTTTTATGTTTATTATGAAATGAAATGAACAGGATTTTCTTCTAATTTTTGTTTTTTTAGACATTAAGTTAGAAGGATGCAATGGTAATAGGCAAATATTGAGACACTTTGTAGGCCATTAGCCATAAGGCAGTCAGACTCATTATTAAATTTAGAATTTTTTTTTTTGTGCAAGGCTCAGTTATTGTCCTTCATATGTTCTTCTAATTACTTTTCTTTTTTTCTGATTCTAATTCTTGATATATTAATATTTTCAAAAACATAATAAAATTTAAGAGACTACTTGCTTGGCTATTGCTCTCATTATTGACTTAAAAAGAGGCTTTTTTTTTTGGAGTGTTACAATATTTCTTTCTTTATTTCTTGCTGTCCAGGAACTGCTTTTTTWTGTTCAGTGCTTGTGGCTCCTGTCAAAACAGAAAGTGGCTCAGTTGTCATGTATATTGTGAACCATGAAGACGTAACATGGTCACCAAACAGAGATGAAGTGCTTTTTTTACGTAAGTGTATGTACTTTTTCCCATAAGAGTTCTCGTCATTAATTATTTTTTTTTTCTAATTATTTTAGAATCACGATGCTTTCCATTGACATCGCGGATGACCTACAAAGTCAATTTCAAAAGACGTAGCAAAGATGGTGAGGGAGAAGAACTAAGATCCAATAAATCTAAACATAGTAAACTCAAGGAAAGACCAAACTCTTTGCCTACATCAACTGCAACCAGTACTGTACAGAGTCCTGAATTCATACCACTTATGAGCATTCATCCAGCAACTCCACCAGAGTCTACTGAAGAAGGAGAATCAGAGTCAAGACCTTCATTAGGGAAAATCAAAAAATCTTCATCAATGACTGAACTGTCAAGCAGTTCTGGATTTTTTTATGAAAGACCAGAGTTTTTCAATAAAAATACCAAACTTCCTTCTCATTCATTGATGTCTGCCTTGAGGCCAGACATGGACAATCTATTTTTACCTATCAAACCACAGCTTTCTTCATGTACATCAGATACAACTTTATGGAAATCAAAAAGCCATTCTTTTTTTTATCAGAGTCTTGACGGATCTACTGTAAGGTTATCTCCAGGGCTCCAGTCATCTGTTGTGCAGCCAAGAAAAACGGAGAAAGTAGCACAGGTTTGGAAATGATCTTTTTTTCTATCCTATCTTATGTGCTATCTAGTTTGCAACTTCTTGGACTTCATTAAGGAGGATAGTGGTGATCAAGGACTCCAGGAATTATTCAGTCTATACAATTCTGTTTTTTTCACAGCAGCCATGTTGATGGTACTTCAACAAAAGATTAGTGTCATGGCATCAATATCACTGTTGATTTTTTGGCTCCCTGCTTGCTATTGCTGGATAATGCTTGACAACCTTTTGCCCATGTCCAGGCAATAGCAACCCAAAGCCAAAGTGTGATTTTTTTTTTTATTATAGCTATAAAGATTTTGTTCTTTTTGGTCTCTGTGTAATGTTTGTAAACTAGGAATTGCAATAACAAAAACAAAATAATGAAATCTATTATCCCATTACTTTTTTTCTAATATTATATACATTATTATCACCATCATGTTTGTAGATACTGTATTTTTTTTTTAAGGATTTTTCCAAACAGAATCCATCTACTTTCATTCCCATCTAAGTGATTTCTTTGTTGTTTTGGACTAGGTGATGTCATTAGGAGCTGATGTTTTACCATTTTTTTAACTACAAGCTCTCAACATTCACCCATGGACGATACTACACTACTCTCCCTTTAAGGCCTTCTGGGATTGGCTGATTCTTTTCCTTGTCATTTACACTGCTATCATAACTCCATACATGGCATCATTCATTCTGACCCGAGATGAACGACGTGATGAGCTCAATAGAAATCCTGAAACCCGCAAAGATTATGGACCAAGAGAAGTGTATAGCGTTTTTTTTGTGATTCTGGACTACATAGTAGATGTCATGTTCATTATTGATATATTTTTTTTTTTTCGAACAACGTTTGTTGATGATAACGATGAAGTAATATCAAACCCTTGCAGAATTGCTATTCATTATTTAAAGACATGGTTTATTATTGACCTTGTTGCTGTTTTTTTATTTGAATTGCTTATTATGATTGGTAATACAGATCAGGTAAGGAAATCAGTGGGATTAAATAGCAATCATTTACAATTAATGTCAAGTCTTATAGTGTATTAGTTTTTTTCACAGTTCACTGCATGCACCCTGATGTCTTTTCATGTCATGTTTTTTTTTTTTTTATATTTCTTGCATTTTACTGGTTTTTTTAGACGACAACTTTGATTGGTCTTTTGAAAACTGCTCGTCTTCTGCGTCTTGTACGTGTTGCTAGGAAGTTAGACCATTATTCAGAATATGGCATGGCTGTGCTTTGTTTACTGATGTGTTCATTTGCATTGCTTGCACATTGGTTGGCATGCATTTGGTATGCAATAGGAAACATAGAAAGAACCTTTTTTTATAGTACAATAGGTTGGCTGGATAATTTAGCAGGTACGATAAACATCTGTGGGTACAGTCACCTCATTCAATAGTGCTATTTATTGTATACCATTACCAGTAATTTTTTTGGATGTTTATCTTTGTAGATCAACTAGAAACTCCTTACGATAAGCACATTTTTTTGAGTGGACCTGACTTGGAGTCCAAGTACATCACAGCATTGTATTTCACTTTTTTTAGCCTTACCAGCGTTGGCTTTGGCAATGTATCTCCAAACACAAACACAGAAAAGGTTTTCTCTATTTGTGTTATGCTAGTAGGATGTAAGTCTTTTTGTCCGTTTTTTTTTTTGTCGTCCGGTCTGTTTGTTGGTTGTTCAGTTTCTCGGGTGGTTAGTTTTTTTTTCCGTTACCCAATGTATTGGAAGACATTTGTCAGTAAGCCATAATTATTTTTTTTACAGAGCATCTAATGCACATGTTAAAATTTATCCGAAATCTATGTTGTTTTTTTAGCCAAGGTTGCGCGTTATGAATAAACAAACTCGTCAGCCTTATCGAGAAACGGTTGGTTTGCACACATTTGAATACATATAAATATGAAATATGTCAACTATTTTTTTTGTTATTTTTTTGCCTGTTTTACAGCTCTCTTCTATGCTGCCATATTTGTTTTTTTAGCTGCTATCATCGCTCGGTTGTATTCCGGTGCGGCTCGGTACCACGCCCAAATGAAGCGTGTTCGTGAATTTATACGATTTCATCAAATTCCATCTCCATTGCGGCAACGCGTGGAGGATTATTCTCATCATATATGGTCGTATACCAATGGTATTGACATGGATCAGGTACTGTTGCTTTCACATATACATTGTACATTTTGGCATTATTACAGATGAAATAGTTGAAAGGTTTTATTGTTAATTACAGTGGGATGCATGTATAGCGGTTTTAAGCGACTTTGTGTCACCGGTACAACCGCATTGTCATTTTGATTTTTGTTCGTTTGAGAGATTGAGTGGGTTGGCGTAATGGCAGATAAGTGGTGCTTGTCGTTGTATGCCCGGATTACTGATGGCTGATCGCCATTATCGCCTTGAAACGTCTGATAAAAAGATTATCACTTAGACACTGCGTGATATCCCTGTTTTGTTCCCAACAAGAAAGTTTTTTTGAAAAATCGCTTTTCTTATTGTTTTTTTTAAACACAGGTTCTTTATGGCTTCCCAGAGTGTTTACAAGCAGATATTTGTCTACATTTAAATAGCTCTTTGCTATTTTTTTACCATGTATTTGCTTCTGCTAGTGAAGGCTGTCTAAGAGCTCTTGCTTTACGAATACGATCCGTTCACCTCCCCCCTGGGGACTATATTCTATATCAAGGTGACGAAGTCAGCCATTTGTATTTTATTATGAGAGGAACGGTGGAAATCCTTCATGATGATGTCATCATGGCCATATTAGGTAATAAGATATTGTCATTTATTTCAAACGATCTTTTTTTTTTATTATGAAAAGAACGAAATGAAAGTTTTGTCAGAGTACTAGTACATTTTTTTTTGTATGTATTTTTTATTCTTATTTATTTTTTTAGGTAAAGGCGATAGTTTTTTTGAAAACTTTGCACTATACCAAGAAAACACATCCGGGAATTCTAAAGCTAGTGTGCGCGCCTTGACGTACTGTGACCTGCGCACTATAGCTCGCGATGATCTCGTTCATATAAGCAGGCTTTACCCAGAATTTAAAACGAATTTTAAAAGAGAGTTGAATTTGACATTCAGTTTGAGAGATGACACTTCAGAACCTGATGTTGACCAGGTAACATTTTTTTATTATGTTCCTTTATCTCGAAGATAAGGATAAATAAAACATCAGTGATTTTTTTTGTACTTGTTGTTAGAGACGACATGTTGGATCTGAATGAGTAATAATATTTTTTTTTGCAAAATTTTACTTTCCAGGTTTCCCAGGGAACATCATCAATCCAAATTTTTTTAGCTGAAGCTTTAAACCACGTTAAAGACAAACCTGTTCAAGTATCTCGTTTTTTTCAAAAAGAACTGSACCGTGATTGCACGCTTAATCCTAATGTCATCGTTGAGAATTCAGCCAATAATTGTCGTGAAACAAAAAGGAAACTTTCACCTYCAAGAATTTTTTTTGAAAATGAAGCCAATCCACCAAACTATGAAGATCTGAAAGTAGATACTTTTTTTATTCCCCGAAATAGCAAGACAAAGAAATCTGATTGTCAAATGTGTTCTTTTTTTTTAAAAACCGTAGAATTCAAACTAGAGGGAATGGATAATCGGCTGAGTCTTTTTTTAACAAAGCTGTCCTCAGACGTTGAAGAAATGTCCAGACTATTGAAGTCTTTTTTTCAGTTGCTACGACAAAGAGTTTCCAAGGACACAGCAGTTTAGAACAAATTTTTTTCTTGCAGTAGACTTAGTAATTTCTTCAAAACGTTTTGAAAAAACTCAGTTTTTTTACCAATGAAAAAACGGCAAACTTTACATTGAGTTCAGTGTTATACGTTATTTATCATAGTGTTCAATCAGATTTTATACTGCCGATACACGCAGTTATTTTTTTCTTGGTTGCCAGCACATGCCTAAGGGGCATGGATGTCGCTCCTCAGCGATTTCTTTTTTTTCAAAAGTGTCAAGAAAATCAATCAGTTTTGGAYCTTTTCTCTGTATCATTTTTTTAGTTTGAATGGCAGTGTTCGCCAAAAAAATTGCGGCGTGTGTTAGGAAAGTCGATTGTCAAGCACCTAAATATATTTTGCACGGATTTTTTCCACGGAGGACATTTTTTTTTCTATAATAAACATGTCAATCTTGTAAATACTTTCAAAATGAATTCTTTTTTTTAACATGTAAATATGTAGTGATAATTCAAATTCTTGGAATTGTATTATATTTTTTTGTTTTATATGACATAAATGATTTCCAAACATGATTGCAGTGTATAATGTTTTTTTCATGAACACAAACTGTAATAACGCTATAGACGTACTACGGAGTTGCTGTTTTTTTAATCGGCTACTGCATTG